TGTCAGATTGCAAGAATAAATGCTTGCGCTGCCACAGTTCGGCAGCTGACAGTGAGATCCTGACCTGGCGCCAGAGCGAGTGCTGTGAGTCTTTAGGGGGCGTGTATAAATCTCTCACAAAGGGGGCTCGTCTTCATGTGGCTGGGGGGTGGGTAGATTCCTCGCACCAGATGCGGTACCATACTACTTTAGGAGTTTGGTTTTGTATAAGCTGCGGGTTCTACGTATCGAAACGCCTAGCCAATTTAGGGAAGCCGTGCCAGCCTGATAAGATTACTGCCAACCGTAAAGAATATTTAAGAAACATCGGGCTCAACAAGTGGCCCAAGGTGTTGTCCAAGCGGGAAAAGGCCCAACGAGGCCTGGTGTGAGGTGGTGTGCCGCGTGCGGGGAGGCCGTGAGGAGGAGGTGGAGCGTCGAGCGCGCGAGCGCGGACGCCTGCCGCGACTTCCACAAGGCCAGGCCCCCCGCCGCCGCCGCCGCCGCCGCCACCGCTTTGTCGTCAGTATAGACTTATCACTTAGTGATGGACTCACTCACTCCCTCCTCCTCCTCCTCCTCCTCCTCCTCCTCCTCCTCCTCCTCCTCCTCCCCCTCCCCCTCCTCTCCTCTTCGACTGTCGCGCCCAAATGGGCTCGGCACTCTCGAGCGGCTGACATGAAGCGACCTTGACTTCCTGGAGAGCCGATCCTCTCCTTCTCTCCTCCTCTCCTCCTCCCTGTTTCTCCCCTTCTCTCCTCACCTCCTCCTCCTCCTCCTCCTCCTCCTCCTGCTCTCCTTTTCCCTCCTCCTCCTCCTGTTCCGCCTCCTCCTCCTCCTCCTGCTGCTCCTCCTCCTGCTCCTCCTCTTCCTCCTCCTCCTACCTCCTCCTCCTTCCTCCTCTTCGCCTGCGCTGGTCGCCGGTGTTACCGCCGCGGTTCCAGTACTCCGCCCCCGTTCCTTTATGTATACCTCGTCCTCATCTGATCACCAGGTGTGTCGGTGGGGCGGGCTAAGCGTTTCGCCCGAGACTTGCTGACAAATGAACACGCCTGGGGCTCGAAACTTCTAGCAGCCGCGCGGATTGAGGGGCGGGGAATTTTTCAATCTCTGACACTCGCCTCAGCGCTGCGCTCATTCGTCGTGAACGTTTGCAGCAGTTGCACGGTAGGGGCGGTGACTTGAAAAATCTGGCTCTCGCCTTAGCCTCGCGCGCATTCGAACAACAAGATCCTCAGAATTTCTGGATGGAGGGGGCGGTGCCGATTTCAACAACGGAACTCTCGCCTCAGCGCCGCGCGCCTTTGCATTATAATTTTGCAACAATTGCTCGGATGAAGGGGGGGACGTTGTCAACATGGAGCTCTCGCCTTAGCACCACTTCCATCCGTCTCAGCATCTTGCAACAACCGCACGGATCAAATCTGATTATTTTTTTCAAAGTGGGTCTATCGCTTGGAACTTCCATATCCTAACTAATGACAAGCTTGAACAGACGTTGCCGCGCCTTTTCGCATTCTCTGTCGTTCGCTAGGAGGATGCAAGGCATTTCCTTTTCAAATCAGGGCTGTCGCCTGACTGGCACGCCCACACGGTGCTGGTCTTTCAACGGGGCGCCAACTGCAGTGGAACACACAACTTGCAGGGACTTCTGAGGGGGCTTGGCACGGGAGGGTACATTTCAGCATCATGGATGCTCTGGTCCCTGGTCCTCCTCCTCCTCCTCCTCCTCCTCCTCTTCGTTTTCCTCCACAATTGATAGAGGAACGCCGAACTGCACAACAAAAAAATTCTGAAGCTCCGCACGGAGTTCTTGGATCGGCGCTGGACCCCCCCCTGGAGCGCGAAGCGAGCCAGAGGCGGGGAGGCTTGGCACATATCCAAAAAAGTCGGCTCGGAGCTCCAAAAATTTATGTTTACAATCGGATTTGATTGGGCAAAACGCGCGAGAGGACACAAGACCCTTCCGAGGCCACCTTGCCATAAGGATGTATGAAGGCATGGGTCTCGAAGCTCAGGACACCAAGGTGCCCTGGACTTGGCAGGGCCGACCTGGTAATCAATCTCGACTGTGTGCCGTGTTCCTCTTTTCCAAATAGTGCTTGCACTCGAGGGCTCTTGCCTGGGTCCCGAGGTAGCCGTGCCCCAGCGGCAAGCGGGCCCGCTCTTCCCCGCCCGTCGCCGCCGTCGCCGCTGGGCCCCAGGCGGTGGTCTGGCCAGCTCGTCGCCACCCGCCGCCGCCGTCCGTCGCCGCCGCCACTTGCACTCGTCCGGGGCCGGCCTGCTTGGCTCATCGCCGCCCGTCGCCGCCGCCCGTCGCCGCCACTCGCACTCGTCCACTCGCACTCGTCCGCTCGCTCGGCACAGCGTCGCATCGTAATCGATATTGCGATCGCGCTGTGTAGCATTGCTCTGCGCTGTGGTCACATGGCGTTGCCATCTCATTACAGTCGCACTGTATCACGTTGCTTTGCATTGCGTTGTATTGCGTCGCGTTGCTTTGCATTGCGTTGCATTGCGTTGCATGGCATTGCATTGTTTTGCGCGGCCTTGCTTTACTTTGAATTGGTTTATCTTGCGTTGCGTTGCTTTGCATTGCTCTGAAACGCCTTGCCTCGCTTGACGTCGCATTGCGTTGCTTTGCGCCACATCTATTGCAGCACACGGATTTCGCCAGCGCTAGATTGATTTGACCACCGACATTGCAGTGCATAGACTGCAATCAAGCACTGCTTGGGGTTCACGCTGGCTAACACATTCGAATTGAGGATCGGGGGTTATTTTGGAGGGCGCCGGAAGCAGCAGGATAAAGAAAGCCACTGTGGCCAGGATCTGGTGACCCCGCCCGACAAAAGCACCTTGTTGCCTGTCGAGCGCTCATCAGGAATGCGTTTCTGAACGCGCCCTGAGAAACAAGAGGGGTGACGTCAGCCCCACTAATTTTATCGTGAATGCCGTCTTCGACCTGGTGTCGTTCGGCGATGATCGGGCCCTTACGACTTGTGCCTTCTGCATCACCGAAAATCACCGGGGAAGAAGAGGGGGGATTAACAGGATCAACAGCATTGGCGCAACCAGACTCCATGAGCGCAGGGAAGCCAAAACACTGGGCTGCCGTAGGCGTCGAGCCTGGGCCGGACGAGGTGGGACGCAGAGGGCGATGAAGATCGGCGCTTCAGATACGTGGCCGTGAGGCATGGGCCCCTAAAACAGGGCTAGGATCGGGATAAATCGCTCCAAAGCGTTCCGGAGCGCTCTCAGAGCGTTCCGGAACGCTCTGGAGCGGCCGCGGCGCCCAATACATCCTCCAAACCCGCCGATTCTCGGAGATTTCGAGTTATCTCGATCCGATTTTGTCCCGATCTTCGCGTCGTTTCAGCCCCATGGGCGGGGAAAAGCGCCCCAAGCGCGCAATCTCGAGGCCCCTCCCTCTCCCCCGGGCAGCCGGAGACGCGGACAGCGTGCCCCTGCAGCACGGTGGACCTGGGCCAGCAGGGGCCCTTGCGCGAGCGGGCACGCGCGGAGCTGGGATAAAACGACGCGAAGATCGGGACAAAATCGGATCGGGATAAATCGAAATCTCTGAGAAGCGGCGGGTTTGGAGGATGTATTGGGCGCCGCGGCCGCTCCAGAGCGTTCCGGAACGCTCTGAGAGCGCTCCGGAACGCTCTGGAGCGATTTATCCCGATCCTAGACTTGTTTTATGGGACCCCCGCGGCGGGCCCCGACTGGCCCAGATCGGTGGGCAGCAGGGGTCCACTTTGATCCGATCGGTCCGCTTCGACACCGGCTGCGGAGGAGGCTGGTCCTCAGTGGGCCCTTCAAACGACAGGGCCGTTTTTTTACCGGTCCCGTTTTGCTGTTTTTTTGCTGGTTCCGACGCCGTTTTTTTACCGGTTCCGTTGCCGTTTTTTGACCGGTTCCGGCTCCAGTTCCAATCCTGGAGCCGTGTTTTTGCCGTTTCCGGTCGTCGTTTTTTTTGCCGTTTCCACTTTCAAGGGGCACTTTTTTTGGAAACGGTGAAAAAACGGCCCTGCCGTTTCCGGGGCCCACAAAGGGCCGGTCCACAGGAAACCTTCGGGGATGTCCGTTGATCTTCGGTGTGGGAACGTCATGCCTTCCACAGCAGCACCATCGAAACCCAAGAAACCCAGGGCACCCTGGAGGCAGCCAGGGTGTTTCTTGGCATGGGCCTCCATTGCATTCGATTATGGGCGGCCCGGTGCGATTCGACTCGGATCTGTCGACGATCCGATGCGGCCCGGTGCTCGCCTGACGCTGGTATGCATCCTGCCTGCGGCGGCCCCTCTTCCTCCGAGGAGGGTCGAAGGGGGGGGGCTGGCTCAGGGGGGGGGGCGACCACGCCCTGGAGTCGGCGATACATCGCCGGTGGATCAGCGATAGTAGGCCCCACCGACTCGGGGCCCCATCTTCAAAAATGAAGAACAGCGATCCTCCCTCCTCCTCCTCCTCCTCCTCCTCTGATCGATCCTCGAAACCCCGAGGCGACCCACACATTCCATTCCTTGATTCTTTCGATACGGGGTCCCTGGGAATCCCGACCCTTTGTCCCGGGCTGGGTTTTCATTCTGAGTTCTTATGTTGAGGGGCAACGATAGGGGGGGGACTGGCATACAGGGGGAGGCATCGACCTGGAATCGGCGATATATCGCCGATAGATCGGCAATAGGCCTCTGACAGCGAGTCCGCACCTTCCTGGGCAGGCTGGGGCTATCGGGCCCCTATCGGCGATCAACGGGCGATTGGGGGTCGATGCATCCCCCCCTGCGTTATCCCCCCCGATCGTTGCGCCCCTGATATTTGGCGGCCCCGAGGCCCGGCAAGGACTCCCGGAGGCCGAGCCCGGCGGCACGCCATCCGTCGCCACCTCTTCACGGCGCGGGGGGTCCCTCCCTCCTCCTCCTCCTCCGATTCTCGGGTCGACCTTCGAAGCCCCACGACGACGACGACGACGACGACGACGACGACGACGACGACGACGACGACGACGGAACGCGGTCCGTGCGCACGGCGGAGATGCCGCAGAGCCGGCAGACGCACCTCGCTCGAAGGGCGCGCCCGGGGCTTCGTCGTCGTCGTCGTCGTCGTCGTCGTCGTCCTGCTGCTGCAGCTCCTCCCTCCTCCCTCCTCGTTCCCGCCCTCCCCTCCTCCCTCCCTCCCTCCTCCCCTCCTTCCCTCCCTCCCTCCCACCTCGCTCCGTCCCTCCCTCCCTCCTTCCCTCCTTCCCTCCTTCCTCCCTGCTCCCTCCCTCCCTCCCTGGTGTCACAGGGGGATCCACGTCCCTGCGGCGATCGGACGAACCAGACGGGATCGATAAGGCAATGGGTGCGCGATTACTTATCGACATCACAACCTCCCTTCCAGAGAAGTTTTCATTCATGGGCGGAGAATGGTGGCACCTAGCTATCTGAGAGGAAGATGATGATCTCCTCCCACTCCTTTTCCACGTCTGTCCTACCCCCTCCTCCTCCTCCTCCTCCTTCTTCTACTCCCAGTTCCACCCCTCATCCCCCCTTCGCGATCCAACTCCTCCTCTCCTCCCCTCCAAGGAGTGAGGACATGATGGTAAGGAAGAGGACCTCTCCTCTGCACCCACCAAAAACCTTCCAGAACCTGCGAACGCATCGTAATGCATGTGGGACACAACCGCACACACAAACACACACAAATACAAGCACGAACACAAACATAAACACGAACACAAACACACATAGACACACAGACACACAGACGCACACAGCCACATACACACAAACACACAGACACACAGAGACACATACACAGTCACACACAGCGACACACACAGACATACACAAACACACAGAGACACGGAGACACATGTACACACAGAGACACAGAGACACAACGATACAGAGACACTGAGACACACAGAAACACATAGACACGGACATTCAGAGACACACAGAGACACATAGACACAGACACACATAACATAGACACACAGAGACACAGAGAAACAGACACACAGAGACACAGACACACAGAGACACACACACACAGAGACACAGAGAGACAGAGACACGGAGACACACAGACAAAGAGACTCAGACACACAGACACACAGACACAGACACATCGGCACAGAGACACAGAAACATAGAGAAACAAAGACACAGACACACTGACACAGAGACAAGCAGCCACACAACCTCACAGCCACACAGACACAGAGGCACACAGAACCACACAAAAGCACACAGCGACGCACAGCGACACACACACAGACACGCAGAGACACACAGGGACACACAGAGACACACCGAGACACAGAGACAAACAGCCACACAGCCACAGAGACACACTGACACAAAGACACTGAACACACACAGAAACACCCAGCGACGCACAACGACACACAGAGACACAGCGACACAGAGACACACACAGACACACAGAGACACACCAGGACACACAGAGACACGCAGAGTTACACAGAGGGACACGCAGAGACACACACACAGGCACACAGAGAGACACACAGAGCCACACAGAGACACACAACCACACACACAAACACACAGAGACACAAAGAGTCACACGAAGACGCGCAACGGCACGCAAACACACACACAAAGACACATAAACACACAGAGGCACACAGAGTGACACAGAGAGACACAGAGGGACACAGCGCGACACAGGGACACACAAAGAGACACAGAACGACACAGAGAGACACAGAGAAACACAGAGACACAGCGACACAGAGACACAGAGCCACAGCGCCACAGAGCCACAGAGACACATAGACACAACCACGCAGACACACACAGACAACTACACGAACACACACACAAACAGGCACATACACACAAGCACACACAACCACTCGCACTCGCACGCACACACGCACACACGCGGACAGACACACACACACACACACGCGCGCAAAAAAAACGCACGCAACCATACACACACGCAGTCACACACACACACACACGCGCGCGCACACACACTCGTACGCACGCACGCACAACCGCTCACACACGCAAACACACATACACACAACCACACACAACAACACACACGCACAAACACACACACACAACACACACGATACACGACACACGGCACACCACACACCCGCGCACCGACACCCACACACCCGCACAGGTACACACCCACACACCCACACACACCCACACACACACACACGCCTTCACACCAACACAACGCACCCGAACGCCCACATCTCCACAGACCAACAAGCGCACACACACGCAGATGCACACGCACACGCACACGTACCAGCACGCACGTACGCGCGCGTACGCGCGCGTACACGCGCACACGCGCACACGCGCACGCGCGTACACGCGTACCCGCGCACGCGCCCACGCCCGCGCCCGCGCACCCGCGCTCACACACACGCGTACAAACATAATAACAGGCAGACAAGCATATAAACACACAAATAGACACGTAGACGCGCAAACATTTTTTTGTCGGCGGCGAAGGAAAGGTAAACTGCGCCAGCGGTTAAGCAATTCGGGGCGACCGAACAACGAACTGCCCAGCATGCAGGAAGAAAGGCTGGGGCAAACAGAGCGGCTGGGGAGGCGGGGGACGCGGGGAGGGCGCTGAGAGGTGGAAAACTTCCATCCTGACGGCGCTGGCGCGGCCAGCGTCGGCAGCGGGGACCGTGGCAGCAGCCGGGCCGTGGCGTCGGTGCATCCACGGGCGCTGCCGAAGCCCAGTACGCGGAAAGCAAAGGCACGCACAGCTGAGCCGTCCAGGTGTGGACCGACTGGGTAATGCAAGTGACGAAAAGCAAATGTAAGTTTCAGGCTGCCACCAACAACATGCTGTGCCCGCTGGGAGTAGGGCGAGGGCTGCGACGAAACGCAGAGCCCACGACAACTACCTCCAGTTGATCGCTGCCATCTGCCGCTGCAGCGTCGGCGCCATGGCGGCGCGCGGAGGGAGGGGGGAAAAAACGCAGAGGGGGGAGAGAGGACAGGAAAGAGGAGCGTCGCGCCTGCGGGGAAACCCTAGCAGGTGGGGCGACGGCACCAGGCGGCCCAGCGCAAGCGCTGCGGCTGCCTGGCGGGCGGCCCTTGCGACGGCCTGGCGCGTCGCTGGCCACGCCGGGGGCCAAACTGTTGCCAGGACATGAGCGGTGAAGGAGACAGTGGGAGGCAATGCGCTGTCTGGGTGGACAGCGCATGGCCGAACTGGGGCACATGATGTGTCAAAGCTGTGGCCGAAACCGTTTGAGGCAACGCGTTGTTTGGGTGGACGGCGCATGGGGCACCTAATCGGTGCAATTGCCTGTAAGAACGCACAGACACACACGCACACATAGACACACAGACACACAGGCATACACAGACAGACACACAGACACACATGCACACAAACACACAGACACAACGCGACACACGGAGACACGCAGAGACACAATCGCGCATACATACAGACACACAAGCGCACAGACGACAGACACACATATACACAGACGCACATACACACACAGTCAAACAGACCGACGCAGACGCATATACACAGACGCACAGACACAGAGACGCACGCACACAGAAACACATATATACAGAAACACACGCACAGGCACACGCACAGACACGGACACACGCACAGACACACACGCACAGGCACACAAACACGCAGACACAAAGGCACACAGACACATGGACACACAGACATACACACACGCACACACACACACACTCAAACACACACACTCACACACACACACACACACACACGCACCCACACCCACACACGCACCCACTCCCAAAACCACACCCACGCCCACACCTACGCCCACGCCCACACCTACCCACCCACCCACTCCCACGCCCACATCCCCACCCCCACCCCCACCCCCACAAAGAGGGGGCGAGGAACGTCCCGCAAGCGGGTGGCGCCCGAAGGGCGGCGCGGCGGCAGCCCGCGAGGCGGCGCAGGCGGCGGCCCAGTTCAGGGCCAGAGAGGCCAGGGTGGCACGCGAGGGGCGGGCGGCGCGCCGCGCTGGGCGGCGGCGGCGCGCCAGGGGAGAGGCGGTGGGGGCCGCCGAAGCGGTGGGGGGGAGCGGAGATGAGGACGCAACTGAACGGTGCAACGGAAACAGGGCTGCGCGCCGCCTAGGCTGACAGCGTGCGGCAAGAAGAGGAGGGGGAGAAAGGGGGGGCCCACCAGGTGCCTGGTGCCCGTGCCAGGAAAGGCGCCGAGCTGGCGTTGCGGCGCAAAGGCGAAGCCAAGTGCGGATTGGAGCGACCGTGCTGTCGGATGTCGCTGCCGTCGCGTGCTTGGCGAATCGCGAAGTGGACGTCGCCCTGGCCTTCGGGGATGCGAAGAAGAAAATTTCGGTCAGGTTCTCGGGGAGCGGCGCCGTCAAAAGCCGCGCGCTCGGGCCGGGTCACTCTCTGGCCAGGCGTGATCGGCGTGGCGCTTGCCCTTCCCCTGCCTGCCGCCGCCTGTCCCCTCTGCCTTGGCCGTCGCTGTCGCGATCTCGGGCCGCGGGGTCCCCGCGGCGCCGGCGCTGCCAGGGGCCTTCCGCGCCCGTCTGGGCGCGGGGGCGGCCGTTGCCGCGTCGACGTGTCCGTCGGGGGGGCCGCCGCCAGTCGGTCATGGCGCTGGCCCTGGCGCCCGGGCGTCGGTTGCCGTCCGGGCCGTCCTCGGGGGTGACCCGCGCCAGGAGCGAGTGGTCCGCCCCGCCCCAGACAGGCGCGACGCTCGGGCCGAGCGCCCCCCCCACCCCCCTGTTCGCCAGGCAGGGGGGAGCTCGCGGGCCATGAGAAAATCTCCTTCCTGGAGCCGGGCATCAGCCCGGAGGAGTGCTGCCGACTCGCCTGGGCGGGGCGCGCAGGCGTGAGCCCTGCTCGCGTCGGGAACGTCGCGACCTGGCCCTGGGGCTCAGGGCCGGGCGTCGCCGGGGTAGTTGAGCCAGGGCCGCGGGCGGAAACTTCCTGGTCTGATGGGCTGCCTGCCCGGTGGTGACTCGCGAGTGCTCGGGGGGCTGCGAGGCAGCAAGCGACGTGCCCGCGTTGGCGGCAGCGACCGCGCCGGCGTGAGCGCTGGCGCTGGCGGCCTCTCCGCCTGGCTGCTGGGTGGCCAGGGAGGGCTGCGGGAGAGCCGCTCAAGGGGCGATCTGGCGCAGGCTGCGCCGCCCCGGTCGCCGCCGTTGCGACTGACGGTTCGGCGTCCTCGCTGGCGCGGGGTGGCGGGTCTCCGACAAATCGCCGCGGCTGAGCTGGCTTTGTCGGCCGCCGCCGCGCCCGCAATGGGCCCAGCGCCCGTGCCTGGGGCGGGGGCGCGGGCGCCCTGTTGTGGAGCGTCAGCAGCTGTCTGTCCCTCGGCGGGGGGCGGCGGGCCAGCCGCTGGGGCTGGCTGCGCCTCCTCCGCGCCGCTCGCTGTCTGCTGAGGCCGGTAGCTGGTTTGCGCGCGCGAGTCCAAGTTCCGGACCCCGTGGCAAGCGAGAAACGCCGCGAGCTGCCGTTGACTGTGCTGGCTGGGGGCCCCAGAAACGTGAGCCACTGCGGTGGCATGCTGTCCTCGCGCCGCGTGCGCGCCTCCGCGCCCTCTGGTGCGTGATAGGGCGCGCCGGGGCTGCGCGTCTGCCGTTCCAGGGGGCAAATGTCCGGCGCTCCGCATTCCAGGGCGGCCTTGCCGCAGACCGTGCCCAGGAACGCCTGGCGCTCCGCTTCGGACCAGGGGCGCGTGTGGAGGATCACTGCTGTGGCGTCGGCGGCGCGCTCTTGCTGCTGGTGCTTGGTCTCGGCCCAGTCGCGCCAGGCGGACTCGGCGTCTTCGCGCAGCTCGCGGGCGTGCTGGACTATGATGTGCGCGATGGCGCAGCCCGCCTTGCCCTGTCGCGGCGCTCGACCTGGCCGGCTGGACAGAGCGCCAGAATCGCCCCATCCGCTCGGGAGGGGAAGGGCGGTGGCCGTAATTAGGGGGGGGCAGGTCCAGCACGATCGCTTCGGCATCCGTTTGGGCTTGCAAGAGCGGCGCCGCGGTCTCTGGGGTGTCGGGCAGGGCGCGCGCTGGCCAGGTGGCTGCAGCTCCAGGCCTCAGCAGTGCACATCGTTCAACCGCGGCCTCCCCAGGCCGCGCAGGAAGCCCAGCAGAGCGTCGTCTTGCAGAAGGCATGGCGTTTCGGTGACGCCAGCAAGCAAGGCGGGGGCAAAATTGCCCCGCTGCTGCGGCGTCTGCCCCTTCTGGCCCACAACCCAGGAGACCAAGTGAGCAAGCAGGAACTGGCGGCGCGTTGCTTGCCGCGACCATGCGTCCGGGTCCGTGGGCCCGCTGTTCGTGCCCTTGCCGTCCTCCCACGGGGTCTGTAGAAACCCATTCAAGAACTGGGGCGTTGGGTCCGAGGGTGTCATGCTGCCGGCGCGGATGTTGCGGGCGCAGTAGCTGATCCAATGCTCGTTGATCGCTGATTCGTAGTTGGCCCTGACGAGCTAAACGGTGGCAGCGAGGTCGGCCTGCCCCGTCTTCTCCAGGGTAGTAGTGGCACTCGGCGGCGGGGGCATGGCCGGCCGGGGTATGCGCATGAGGCTGGCAAGGGCGGCGTCCATGCCCGCTCGCCCGCTGCGCCCGCGGCTGGGGTCGATGGGGGCTGCCCGGCTCTGCCGATGAGCGCCCGCGCCCCGCCTCGGTCGCGACTCGCGCCCGGCAGCCGCGGCGCCGAGCTGTGCGAGGCGACTGCTGGGGCTCGCCCGCGGGGGCCGGCTGTCCGTGCGCGCAAGGCCGTCCTGTCGGCGTCCCCGGCGGAGGGGCGGGGAGCTCCACGCCCGTGGCCTGCGGTCCGTGCGCTGCTGCTCCTGGGGGCCCCTGGCCTCCCCCGGCTGTGGAAGACCGGCCGGGCCCTCCTGGGCTGCGGGAGCGAGGGCTGGCCTCGTGGCCGGGGCTGGGAGGGGCGCTGCCTGAACGCGTCTCGTGGCGGGAGCCCTGCTGGCTGCGCTCGTCCTGAGCGCGCGCAAACGCGCGCGCGCGCACGAACGCGCGCGCACGCACGCACGCACGCACGTACGCACCCCCCCCCCCACACACACACGCACACGCACACGCACACGCAACTGCACACGCACACGCACACGCACGCACACGCACACGCAAACGCACACACAGACACACAGACACACAGACACACAGACACACAGACACACAGACACACAGACACACACGCACACGCACACGCACACGCACACGCACACGCACACGCGCACGCACGCGCACACGCACACGCACACACAGACACACAGACACACAGACACACAGACACACAGACACACAGACACACAGACACACAGAGACAGAGAGACAGAGAGACAGAGAGACAGAGAGACAGAGAGACAGAGAGACAAAAAGACAGAGAGACAGAGAGACGGAGAGACGGAGAGACAGAGAGACAGAGAGACAGAGAGACAGAGAGACAGAGAGACAGAGAGACAGAGAGACAGAGACACAGAGACACAGAGCCACAGAGCCACAGAGCCACAGAGACACAGAGACACAGAGACACACGCACCGACACAGAGACACACACCGACACAGAGACACACAGAGACACACAGAGACACACAGAGACACACAGAGACACACAGAGACACACACACACACACTCATACACACACACGCACGCACGCACGCACGCACTCACGCACGCACGCGCGCGCATGCACGCACGCGCGCGCATGCACACGCGCACGCGCATGCACACCACGGCACACGGCACAAGGCACAAGGCACAAGGCACAGGGCGCAAGGCACAGGGCACAAGGCACAAGGCACAGGGCACATTGCACAACACATCATACAACACACAGCACACAGCACACAGCACACATTCCGCAGCAAAGAGCACAGAGCACAAAGCACACCGCACAAGCACACAACACACACAACACACACACACACTCACTCACCCACTCACGCACACACAAGGTACAAGCCATACGATCTCCATCATCCTCCGACCATGTAAAACGTCCTGGTCACCCCTCCACCCGCTAAAACCTCCCTAAACCCCTTCCGTACTCCCCTCTCGCCCTCGTCCGCGTCCTCTTCATTCCCTCTCCTTCTGCTCCCTTCCTCATCCTTATCCTCCTTCCTTCCTCCCTCCCGCGAGGAGGAAGGCAATTGAACGTGAGGAGAAGAAGGTGACGGAAGGAAAGGATAGGACTGGGGATGGGAATGGTGAGGATGATGAGGATGACGAGGATGATGAGGATGCGGATGCGGATGCGGATGATGAGGATGATGATGATGATGAGGAGGAGGAGGAGGAGGATGAGGATGAGGAGGAGGAAGAGGAGGAGGACGAGGGGAGGATTTTGTCAATATCACGGCTCCTCCTCCTCCCTCTCCTCCCTCTCTTCCTCCTCCTCCTCCTCCTCCCCCCTCTGCTCCTCCTCCTCCTCCTCCTCCTCCTCCTCCTCCTCCTCCATCTTCTCCTCCTCCTCCTCCTCCTCCTCCTCCATCTTCTCCTCCTCCTCCTCTTCCACCTCCTTCTCCCTCGGGGAGGAAGGGGGCGACGGCCTGTGGCCGCACGGCGTGAAGGCCCACTCGCTCTGCGCCGAGAGGCAGATGCAGCACGGCATCGCCTCCCGAGGGGGGGGGGGCAGAAAGAAGACGACGCCGACGCCGACGACGACGACGACGAAGCGAGGGAGGAGAGGGACAGAGCGGGGGAGAGGAGGACAGAACGAGGGAGAGCAGAGGGAGAGCACAGGGAGGGACGCCTCTGGAGGGTGGCCCTCCCGCGCCCGCCTCACCCCCGTGACACTCTGATAAAAAAAGGGGCTTCTACTGTCACGGTCTTGCCCCGCGCCGAGGCGGGGGTACGGCAGGCTCGTGTCGTGCCGACTTCGGCGTTGGTTTCTGACACCGCGGGGATCGTTCAACCTTGAACGATCGGCCGTTTCCGAAACGTCCAAATCGTTTCACATCGAACGATTCTGGGTCGCCCGCGGCGTTCAAAATTGAACGCCGCTGGCGGGGTCGCCGCCGGTCGACACGACACGAACCCCTGCAGTAACCGTTGCACCTGGAGGGGGGGGGGGGGCGTCCGCCCGTGACGCCCACCACGGCTTCAGGCAAGGCTTCCTGAGCCCGGCCGTTCTCCCAGGCCAGCTCTGTGCTTGCACGACCAGCCTTCGGAGTGCCGAAATCCGAGGAAGGAGGGGGAGGGGGGGACGAGGGATAGGAGGACAGACGGAGGGAGGATGGCAGGAGGAGGGAGGGGGGAAGGAGGGATGGCATAGAGCAATGAACTGCATGAACATCGACTTTTCGCGGTCCGCGTGGGTATCTCGCCAGAGAATTGTATTGGTTTGCGTTGTAACGAATCGCTGCACGCGAACATCCAGCATGACATTTGCGCCCCTGAAAGTATACACGCCCAAAACCGATTGCAACCCCACAAATCGATTGCACCAAATCTATTGCACCACCTCCTGTTCGCTGGATTCTCTCTTGGGCCAACCAAAATGACACTCCTTGGTTGTTTGTTGCCCTCGCTGAGCATCCGGACGCCTCCCTGGAGGACCTCTAAGAGGCCTCCAACGCCCCCCCCGTCACGAGGGCGGGTGAAGGAAGAGTGTTTCCGTGTCGGCGCAGAAACGAAACACCTGCTCGGGTGGCGATCGTTTTCCTATTCGTTGTTTTTTCCGATCGGCGCGGGCCCTCGCCCCCCCCCTCCCCTCCCCCCCATGGAGTGGTTCTTCGCTGTTTTTGTTGGCGCCTGTTTCGAGCGAGTTGCGTCTCCCCCAAAGGCCGCACCCGTGCAAACAGTCGCACTAAGCAGAGGTCCGGAGCCAGACCCCCCGCCCCCCCCCCACTTCCGCCCAGTGTCGAAGCGCCGAATGAAAACAACGTTCACAGGCGCTGCGAGGTGCATCGCAGCAGAAGCCGAAGCCCGAAACTGAAGTGCACGCAGGAAGGAAAGAGCCAATGTGCAGGCTTGGGGATGGGCCATCTCGCAATCGCACGTCTCCTCCGAATGCACCACCACCTCGCCTCATGCTATGCTCGCTCCAGGGCTCTAAGTCCTGACGAAGCGGGTTCGGAGGGAGGGCGACGGCGTCGTGGAGCAGGAGCGTAGGCATGGCCATAACGCGCTGGCGTTGGCGATTGCCGAATCCTTGCTGCAGCACGGAAGGGGGGGTGCAAGTCAGCTCGCGGGGTGGACCTTGCCCTAATTAGGGGCCAAAACAAAAGACGCCCGAGCAACAGCAGGTGCACGAGAGGGCGGCCGACCACTTTGGCGCCGCGGGGGAAACCAACCGCGAGAAGGACGGGCCGCTCAATGGATATCCCGAGCATCAAGACTCTGTTTGTGGTTTGACGGCTTTGTTCTCAATGCGTTGTTCCTTCTTCGCAGGTCGAGAAGAGCCAATCCACATGGACCAGAGGGTGCCGCAGGTCCCATTGGATGCGAAGGAAGCTTTCTCCAAATTGAGGCTTTTCAGCGAAAGATGGCTCTGACTGGGCATATATACCTATTTTCAAACCAAACAGCAAATTGCCACCATCTTGCTTCTGAATGGTTTCTGGGGGTACCGAGTCTCTCCAAGATCTCCCAAGAGAGCTTGATAGGGATACGCAAAAGGGCTCCACGACTGCACCAATGCGATAAGTGTACTCCATTGGGGAGGTGCTAGTTCGCACAACCCCTTTTGGGATCGATGTCTTCCACAATGCCCCATATAGGGCTCCCTCGACCTCTGCAAGGGCCCAAGAGAAACCCAACCGCCTCCCGAATGGCCCCAAAACGCACGCACATGTGGCCAAACTAAAACTTCAAGAGGTCATCAGATCGAACGATCCGCTGCTGCATTTGTGATTGACTCCCGGATCTGCTCGAACTCATCTCGAACTTCGGCTGGATGATTGCCCGCATCTTTGTTCCGCTGCATGCCCGTGCGCCTCTCGGATCGTCGCTTAGATCGGTTGTTTGGATGGACTGGTGGGGAAGCGCACTCTTGTCCCCAAATAGCGTGTGCAATCCTTCTCCCTCCCCCCTCGTCCTTTCCCCGTCCCCAGTTCGCGCTCCTAGGCCCCCTAGGCAGGGCTGCCTTTGGCGTCGCCAAAAAGTCCCGCACCCGTGCAGGAGCAGGGGGCTAAGCACGGCTGCCTTCCATCTCGTCTTCCTTTCCCTCTCTCCACTGCCACTGATGTTGCAGGCTTCATCGATCTGTCTGTCGCTGCAGCGTTTCTGCACCTTTGGGGTGAACAGACGCCTGCTCGACTGAACCGCGGATTTATAGCTCGACTTGGGCTGCGGTTAAGGAATCCCCGCACCTCTGCTGGGCACGCGGAAGGGGGGTCCGCGGATGTGGCGCGCGAGCGCCAGATCCAAAGACCAAAGGAACCAAGCTCAGACCGGCGCCACTTCAATCGGCGACGGAACGCGCCGATTCTGCGCGGAAGCGGCGCAATAATCGACGCGCCTGGATCCACGCTGGTTAAAGCTGTGCATGAGAAAGAGAGAGAGAGAGAGAGAGAGAGAGAGAGAGAGAGAGAGAGAGAGAGAGAGAAAGAGAGAGAGAGAGAGAGAGAAAGAGAGAGAGAGAGAGAGGAGAGAGACAATAGAGAGAGAAGACAGAGAGAGATAATATATATATATAGAGAGAGAGAGAGAGAGAGAGAGAGAACGAGCCGTGCGCGTCCGGTGTGCATTGGGACTGATAGCGCTCGGGCTCATACGGGTGCTCAGAAGCAGAGGCGCCTGGCAGCTGTGCGCCACGCGTGCGCAGGACCCTGCCGCAGGTCTCGCAGAGGTGCTGGTCCGCCTGCTGCTTGGCAGGCGTCGTAGACGCACCGGTTCTATGTATTTCTGGGCCGGCCGAGCGCGCTAGGTCAAAACCCCCAGGCGTGAAAACACAGCGTGTTACTACACTGCCGTCCTGTTGCCGGGCAACGTCTCCCATTAAGAGCAGTTGTCTGTACGCCAGCAGAGAACTCAGCTTTTTACACCCGCAGGTACCAAGCGCGGACTCACTGGTGATGTGGCTCACGTACGAGTGCCCTATAATGGCGATTTTTCGCAGGCGCCGTGCCTGGAAGGCGTTCAACTTGTTATTCTCTGTCTTGTTGAGACACCCGGTGTGCAAACAGTGCTTGAGCTTCGATATAACGCATGCTTCAAATACCCACACTTTCTTCGACAACGATATCTTGCAATGCTTCCAAACCTTGCGGAGCGTGCTGAAGTCTGCCGCTCCGATGCCCAAGCGTCTGCTCAGCTCGGGGCCGCTTCCTCCGCTGGCAGTCAAAAAGGCCGCCCAGATAGACAATACTTTCCTTGCACGGCACTGCTGCGCCTCCTGGTTTCACGAGCGCGGTTTGGCACCGAATTGGTAAAGCTTGTATCTTGTTCCAGTTGAGCGCCAGGCCGTAATGCTTCCCTGCCTCCTTCATGAAATTCGTGAGCGCGCCCACGAACTCGTCGTTGGTGCCCGCCACGAGCGTGTCGTCCGCATGGGTCAATTCGCTGACCGGAAGTTGTTCATCCTGCGTGAAGCCCTGTCGCTTGAGAGCAGCCGTGGCGTCGCGCATCAAGGCGGTCATCACGATGGAGAAAAAGAATGGCTAGAAAGGACACCCCTGTGAGATACCGTGCTCTTGCGGCCACGACTTGGACACAACTGCCGCCTGTCGCACACGAAACGACCGATTTGTGTAGATCGACCTCACGCATTCGAGAAATTGCGCAAGTACGCCAAATTGCTGTAGAGATTGCAGCGGACCCTCTAGCGATACACTGTCAAAGGCTTTTGCCCAGTCCAACGCTATGAAGATCAGCTGGCCTGAGCGGGAATCCCACGTAGCTTCGATCATCCTTCGGGCTACAAACAGAGCGTCTGCCATGCCGCGGCCACTTCTGAAACCGTACTGCGTGTTCCAGATTCGACGCTCTGGCATCGACTCTTGTACATGAGAAAGTAGGCAAATTCATCAGATCTCGATTGTCCGCTAAGCAGCTCTTGCTTTCGGTGCGCGGCGTTGCAGGCGGAGGGAGTGTGCACGCACGCATGGCGCGGAGCGGATGGGTCACACGGTCTGAGCGCGCGTCAGGAGAGAAGGAAGAGTAGGATGATGACCAGGATGGTAATGATGATTGATGATAGTCAGAGGGTGGAAAAGGGACGGATAAAGAAGAGGGACGCAGGAGGAGTATGTAGAGGGAGGAGGTGACCGAGGGGAAGGATGAGGATGCGGAGGTGAAGGGAACTATCAAAAAATAAGCAGGATGATCATGAGGGAAAGGGATCATTGGGAGGGGGTAGGATGAGGCTGCGGAGGAGAGGTAAGGAAAGGGAGAGGATGAAGACAGCGCATCTTTCTCCTCGTCAAGCCATCCTCCTCATCCTTCTCCTCCTCCTGCTCCTCCTCCTCCTCGTCCCCTCACCGCCTCCTCTCTCTCCCACGGCCAGGAAGGTAGGCAGGCGGCTGATGAGGGAGGAGGGATGGGGAGCGATGAACAGAGGTGAGGAGTGGGTTCTTGAAGGTCTTACGGAGCTCTGAGAGCTTATGATGGTGCATGTGCTTCTTGAGGTTTTTGCAAGATGATGCCCCCCCTCGTCCTCCTCATTCTTTTTCC